ATAGTGGTAGAGATGGGTGTGGTCAGGCTATGAATATCCTTGAAGGTACAATCAGTGTTTCATGATGGATTGTGTGTGATTGTGGGAAGAGTTACAACTGACCTTATCATGCAACTGGAAAGACAAGATTGCTATCAGCTGAGATGGAGGAATTGGTAGGCACTGCGATTTCAATGGGCAACTCAGAGATAGTTTTCAATTAAATTATAAAATAACAGGTTTCCTTGTAGTATTTTCATATGTCCTTTTGTTTGGTTGATCCTCCTGCTTCTGAGATATCCTTCCATCTCCTTGCCCTTCCTTCCCTGCGTGTATTCTATTGTCCACAGTAGTCCCCCTTCCACATTAATATCCCATATTCTATTGTCTTCTCCCCTTTCTAGGACCCCTTTCAAGTTTCTTGTCTTATGGCCATATTTACTTCCCCCTAGATGCACAGGTTTAACAGATAGAAGGTAGGATTTGGCAGGTTGTAGCAGCTCATACTGGTAGAATATGCTGAAGAGGAGAAAGCAGGAGGCTCACAAGTTAGAGGCCAGCCTGAGCCATTTTGGGCTGGTGAGAGACTCGTCTGTTAAAAGTCTTGGCTACTCTTCAGAGGACCTGGACCAGCGCTCACAACTGTGTCTCAGGGAATCTGATGCTCTCCTCTGGCCTCTAGACACTAGGCATGTGGTGTACAGATAGACTTGCAGGGGGAGAGAAACACCCCACACATAAAGTAAGAAGAACACTTAAAGCTGGCATTCAAATATGAAAGAGCAGGTGGTGCTTGTCTTCCTGAGCCTGAGTCACATCACTTACTGTTTTCTGATTCTTCCCATTTCCTGTAGATTTCATAACTGTGTGCGTGTGTGTGTGTATAAAATTCCTTTGCGTTTATATCTCATGCTGTCATTATATCCATTTGCTGGTGGACATCTAGGCTGATTCTGTTTCCTTACTATTGTTATATGGGTATGCAGGTATCTCTGAGTATGACATAGCCTTTTAGGTATATGCCATGGAGTGTGCAGCCAGGTTGTATGGTAATTGTTTTCAGTGTTTAGAGAAGCCTCCACATTTATTTCTGTAGTGACTGTATCAGTGAATAAATTTATTATTCCTTTTTCTCCATATCCTCACCCAGACTTATTTTTCTTTACTGTAGTCATTCTTACTAGAATGAGGTAGATCTCAAGGTAGTTGTAATATATATTCTTTGATGGCTGTTTTGTATTTCCTTTGAAAACTGTTTATTCAGTTCATTGACCTACTTACTTTTCTGATTACAAGTTTGTGTATATGTGTATATGTGTTTAATTTTTACAATTCTTTATGTATTCTAGATAATAAACCCTTATCTGGCGTATGGCTGACAAAGATTTTCTCTGCTATCTTAGGAATCTCAGGCTTTTTGTTTATTTGCTTGCTTGCTTTCTTGTTTGAGGCACCAGTGTCTCATTCAGTTACATATTTGTTTTGGTTTTTGGTTTTTCAAGACAAGGTTTCTCTGTGTAGCCTAGCTATCCTGGAACTAGTTCTCGTAGACTAGGCTGGCCTCTGCCTCCTGAGTGCTGGGATTGAAGGTGCACCATCATCTCCTGGCTCTATCCATTATTTGTAAGAATATAGAGTTAAGTCATAAAAACAGTTCTGGAGGTATACATTTGAAAGTTGTCACAATATCGATGATATGTAATAACTAAGATTAGGTGCATTTACTAAGGTCATAAGCCCAGGGGAAAGGCCCAAAGAATGAGGCCTGATTTTACCTTGCAATTTTAAAAGATCTAGAAGAGTAGGAAAAAGGACAAAAGATAGTGAGAAAGAGCTCTGCTAGTGTAGGAAATAACCAGTATGATAACAATCATTTTCTTTACTGCATTGGTGTGTGTATATACATGCATGTTTGTGTGAGTGCCTGCCTGCCTGTCTCGTCTTGTCTTTGTGCATGTGTGCTCATGTGGGCGTCATAGGCTGAAGCTCAGGTATCTTTCTTAGTTGCTCACCACCTTAGTTCTTTGAGACAAGGTCTTTAATTGAGCCTGGAACTGACTGAGCCCTTGGGTTCTTCCTGTCCCCACTTTCCCAGAGCTGGGACTACAGGCATGTGGTTCCATACCCAGCTCTGAGATCCAGATTTACTTCCTCATTCTTGGACTGCCAGCAAGTTACTCACTGAGCCATCTCCCCAGCCCACTTACTATATTTTAACTTTTGATAAAGTCCTAGTATTTGTAGTTCATGTTTTTACTTTGTATTTGGAACATATTTGCTGAATATTAAAATAAAGGTGACTTTGAATTTGAGGTACCTGAACAAAACCTAGGAAGTTTTAAGTGTTGGGTAAAGTTCAGACAAGGTAGGAATTATAGATACTATAATTTGAAAACTAAAAGCTCTCTACATTATGCATTTTGGTAGAGTTTAGCACATTTCTATTTTATTTCAGCATCACCAGTACCTGTATAGAATATTTTCATCATCCTATAAAGAATTCCTGTTCCCTTGCCTAGCATCTCCTAGGTTCTGGTGTTGTGTGTGACTTTTTCCAATGGAGATATGGGTAATTTTTTTTGTCACCTCAGATAGGGCACCAAGGATAGATGAAAGATTATTCCAAGGCCTAGCATTCTGAGCCAGTTAGTTTACTGGGGTTGCTTACAGAAGTGTGGGTGCTTCTTGGGCAGCCGGTGCCAGCTTATGCAAGGCTTATCAGCTGGTGTCCTGCCCAGCTGGTAGGGATGCTCCACTGCAGTCTCCTTCCCCAGATTGTTTACTGTTTATTTGTAATCTTGGGCAGAGGCTGTGTGACCTTTCCAAAGTTTGGTGAGCCTTCTAAGTCTATGAAGGTCAGTTGGAAGTTTCAGTTTGGAGGAAATAGCTATACAACACCAGGTAACCTCATACCTGCTTTGTTTGTAAAAAGATTTGTTTATTGTGGATTTTTAAATACATAAAACTGTATGACGTTCTGTGTCTGGCTTCCTTCCCTTAGCATATCTTCAGGACTCATCCTTGTTGTACCATATATTGCTATTCTATAGTGTAAACATACTATATTCTGATCATTGTGCTTATATATTCATTTGCTGTTGATGGACATCTGGGCTCTTCTAAATAATGAGTACATGTACAACATTTTTTGAATGTGTTTTGTTTTATATGCTCTTATATATATAACTAGTAGTAGAATTACTGGGTCATTTGAAATTCTATTTGTAACATTTTGAGAAACCATCAAAGTATTTTCCACAATTGACTATGTGTTCTTACCAGCAATATATATTCTCAGCATCCACATTGGAATTTATTACTTTCATGTGCTGTATTTAGTCAGTTCTCACAAGACAGATTCCTCCTCCTAGTTCCTCAGACTTTTTTTTTCTTTCCCTAGGTTGGGTTTCTCTATCTGTGGAGCCTATCCTGGAACTCTCTCTGTAGACCAGGCTGGCTTCAAACTCACAGAATCTACCTGTCTCTGCCTCCCTAGTGCTGGGATTAAAGGTGTGCGCCACCACCGCCTGGCCCTTCCTTTTATTCGTGATAATTTTCATCATGCCGGCATTTCTTTAGCAGTTCTCCTAATAGGAGGGTCCTTTTGTTATTGTTTCGATGCTTCCCATCATGAAATTCAAATTGTATGCCTTTGCATTTTTTTCTCAGTTGCCACATGACGAGGCTAACTAGTAACTGCTAACAATTCTAAACCATTTCATTTAGGAGGTATTCATCAGATTTAGTTACTCTTTGTTCTTTAAGTAACATGTAGGAGGAGTCTTTCACAATATTACTATTATACTTTTATTCTGTTAATTTTGCATCTATTTGTTGTTTTTCTTTGATAATGCGGGGGATTAAACTCAGGACCTTGCATATGTTAAGCACACACTCTACCACACCCAGTTCATTTGTGAGTTTTGACTAAAATAATATGCTAGTTGTGAATTTTATATCATTCATGTGGAGCCATGCACTTAGCATTACAGTAAGTTTTTGTTTCACTGTTTTCTTTACATAGAATCTTCTTGCGATGAAATTGATATGATCTTAAATAACCCTAAAGTAACAACCCCATTGGATAATCATTGTGTAAATAAAGGAAACTATATAGAATTCATTTAGGGGATGCTTTTCAAAAGTTCCTAATTAGTATTTATTTAGAATACAGTGATGTCAGTACTTAAAATTGGTCTGTAGTCTGCTGCCAATTCACAAATTATTTGTTCCTATAGTTTTGGTATAATAAGATAAGGAAATGAGTATGCACTTTGAATCTTTTACCAAAATTTGATATAGAGACCTATATCAGATTGGGAATTAAAAAGAAATCCTTTACCTCACTTGGTCTGAAGAACATGTAGAAACCAAAATGTCCACTAGGTCTCTTGAAACATGTGCGTGACAGTGTAAAGAGATCACTGTGGCCCTTAGTTATGTTGTCATTGTTCACTGGGTAATGTGAAGTAAGAAGGCTGAAAAAAGAGGGGAGTAAAAGCATGGGAAGATGGGAAAATGTTTAAGAGTGAACACTACTGCCTTAGGGCACATTTTAGGGTATAACATCCATATTTTCCATCCCCTCCTCCTGCAGGTTTGTTTGCAGCTCTGTTCATTTATATACATAGGGACATGCCCAATTTGGAACTCATAATTTTAAAAGCAATTTTCTTTTTAACTGAGGAGAAGAATATAATGTTAAATATCCTGCATTTTATGTCTCTTATCATTAACTAGTTTATAAAAAAGGTACTGATTTCTAGAAGTTCCAGGAAAACCAATCAAAGTGTTTAGCAATTATAAAGAGGCAAATGAAAGAGAGTTAAAAGGGGGAGAAAGATGGTTGTGGAAGTGGCCTGATTTGTATTACCTGTCAGTTCCCGAGTTCCTCGTTAGTTGGTAATTAGTTTCTGAATCTCCACAATGTCTTTATTATTATTATTTTGGCCTTTGTAATACCCCTCTTCCCCAAGACTGACATATCTGTAATATATTCTATTAATTTGGTTGTTTTCTAG